CTTTCTATTTCCCCTATAGGGTGTGATGTTTCAATTTTTTTCCCTTACATAGGATCAGGGTTTTAAACCCTTTTAGGGAACACACCTATCCTAAATTAATGGCAACACTTCCATCCTACAGGAAAAAAGTGACATTCAAGACCCATATTCCTTTGTTGACAAATCTCAGATCTCGGGCAAAAATTTTCAAACTCTGAGATGGAAAGAAATGCACAAAAACAATAGTTTGACGCACATCACAAATTATACCAAGATTTCAAGGAACCATTTGACCTCGTCAGTCTTCACACTTTATTCAAACACAACAGGTTACATTAACAGATAATGCCCAGTTCCTATTTCAAGCACTAGTTAGTTTCTATCAATATCATAAATCAAGGTTAACATATCCCTAATCCTTGTAATGCTGCCTTTTTAAGGAACACATACTTTTTCTTACATGTAGAATGTGTTTAAAGAACCTTATGTATTACAATGAATAATAGTTTTTATATTAATCATGTGTTATGCCCAGTTTTTATAAAACTGTTTACACATGTATCTAACTGTATTGTGTGGTTCTTGATTGCTAAAGAAGTTAAGGAAAATGGTACAAATGTCCAGCCTAATATGTAAAGCTGTAGCTAGATACTTCCATCTTCTAATTGTCTATTTTTCCAGCCCAACCAGCTTCACACTCAGATCCCACAGCTTCTTGGCTGCGGCATCATCCTGGGCCCCCTTGGATTCCTCCACAACGGCACAATCTCGCAGATATTTTCCACTGACACCTTCCATCTCCTCAGAGACTGCACAGTGAATGGTAGTTTGGGCTCCCTGTTCGGCTGTCTTAAATACATACCAGCGAAGGGGAAAGAGGAGACCACTTCCTATGAAAGAGTGGCGCTGCAAATCAGTGGTGACTGCTCCAGGATGCAGTGAATTCACTGTCACGTGGGTACCCTCAAGGCGTTTGCTCAATTCGCGTGTGAAGAGCACGTTTGCAAGCTTGCTGTCGAAGTATGCACCCCAGCTGCTGTAGCTCTTTTCATAGTTTATATCTTCAAAGTTGATCTTGCCACTTCCCATTCTGTGAGCGGACGAAGACACGTTTATGATACGACTCGGCTGACAAAGCTTCAGTCGGTCAAGAAGCAGCATCGTCAGCAAGAAATGCCCAAGATGATTCGTACCAAACTGCATCTCAAATCCATCTTTTGTCTTCTGATACGCGCAGGCCATCACCCCAGCGTTGTTGATCAGAATGTCTAGACGGGGTTCGCTGTTGAGAATTGTATCTGCAAACTTGCGAACTGACTCCAAAGAGGCAAGATCTATCTCCTCAAGGAAAACATTGGCATTCCCGCTTCGTTCTTTTATTTCATTCAGTGCTTCTTTACCCTTTTGTAGGTTTCTGCAGCCGATTATGACCCTCGCTCCACGCCTGGCTAAATCCACGGCGGTTTCTTTACCGATGCCAGTGTTTCCACCGGTGATAACCACGGTTTTTCCTTTTAGGCTCTTGTTACTCTTGCATCGAGGCCCTTGGAAGTATCTTTTCCCTGCATAAAGAACAGCAATTCCTGCTACACCGATCGCAGCTGGGACAGCCATGTTCGAGCTAGAACTTGGACAATACAACAACAATACAATACGCTGAGTCAAACATGCATGCGTAACCTCGTCTCTATGCTCGAACACAGGTCCCTGCCTGCCTCGTACCGAGGCTTGTAATGGATCAAATTGCAAAGGCTTTATCAAACAGGCCTGGGTTGCTCGAAGCATGGTTAGTGCTAACCAGCGTTAAATACCATGGAAACCTATACATTTTGATACCTCTTAACCAACGGTTAGCGCTAACCAGGCTTCGAGCAACCGGCCCCAGGGTTATATTTAGCTAATCTCTACTTTAATCGGTGACGGATCTATATAGATGGGGCCGGGGAATGGTGGCTAAGCCCCCTCCTAATTTTTAGGCCAAATTAAAGCACAAAGGGCCATCATTCATGACCATTCACCATTCGGCGTCAGTGGCAGGGTCCTCCTCAACATTTTCTTAGTGAAAACTACTAAAGATAAGGTTGTGTCTGGCTCCTGTATTACCAAAGGCTGTGTTCAGCTACCCTACCTTAACTGTCCAGGCTGACAAGCCCAAATGAAGTAGCCTGTTCCTTGCTCTCAGCTAGTGGGGAAGCTTGGGTATGACGAGTAAGTGAAAGGCACGCGAAAATATGAGCGCGCGGTCTGCCAGGTTCCTCCCGTTTTATTTTCGTGTTCGTGCATTCTCAATTTTGCGGACTCGACTAGACTGCGACAGTCCCTGTTCAGTCCGTCAAGTCTAAGCTTGGCAGGACTGGAGAGAGCGAATTGGCCGAGAGGGAAACCCTCGGCTTTCGCTCGCTCGCTTCGCTCGATTTTATTGCCTCTCGGCCAATTCGCTCTCTCCAGTCCTGCCAAGCTTAGACTTGACGGACTGAAGAGGGACTGCTCGCAGTCTAGGACTCGACTAGCTCAGAGCCTGGAACAGGTTAAGTGAAGCTAAGGTTGAAAAGGTGTCCACAGCTGCCATTGCCAGGGTGGTATGGTTGTCTGCAAGCAGCCAGCTCCACACCCAACCTCGCCTCCAAAGCCACTGAAAAGCGCCCTGGGGACGAGGTTGCTCTCTACCCGCACAAGAACAAGATCTCTCCCTGAAAATAGGAAGGAGAAGTTTGTGGCTGAAAAATTCTCTCTAAGGAAGTGATCTATCAATTTATTTTGACTCAGTCAGAGGTACAGAAGCTTTTTGTATGAGGGTTTTGTAAAAATAATTAACTAAATAGCAAAGAGGTAAATATTAGAAAAAATAAAAAATTAAATAAAAAAAACTAGATAAATAATTATTTACAAAATTGATGGAAAAAAGGTACTGTATAGTGCTTTGTCACTGGTGGCAATTTTACAAGGCTGCTTGTACACCTTTGCGGATATATATCATATCTATTTAAGATCTGCTAGCATCTGGCACCTTTCTTTTATTCGGTAGCTTGCTACATATAAAAACACTAAGAATTTTACACAAGAATTGGTTAACTCTATCCGTAGTTGTGTACTCTTCTTAAATAACAGAATAATATTACTGTCACCGGCACTAGACTAAATACCGGTAACTAACAACAATAGCACTGGCATAAAATCATTGAACAGGTAACGATTCTGTTATCTAATTTTAGTGTCACTTTTCCAGTCCAACCATCTTTACGCTCAGATCCCACAACTTCCTGGCTGCTTCATCATCCTGGGCACCCTTGGATGGCTCCACAATAGCGCAATCTTTCAGATACTTCCCGCTAACTCCTTCCATTTCTTCAGAAACGGCACAGTAGATGGTAGTTTGGGCTCCCCGTTCTACGGTCTTGAACATGTACCAGCGGACAGGGTATAGCAGAGTACTGCCTAGAAATGAGTGTCGTTGCGATTCAGTAGCAACAGCTCCTGGATGCAGGGCATTTACCGTTACGTGGGTACCCTCCAGACGTTTGCTCAGCTCGCGAGTGAATAACACGTTTGCAAGCTTACTGTTATAATAGACGGCCCAGCTGTCATAGCTTTTTTCATAGTTAATGTCCTGAAAGTTTATCTTGCCACTACCCATTGCGTGAGCGGACGAAGAAACGATTACGATACGACTCGGCTGTGAGCGTTTCAGTCGGTCAAGGAGCAGTATCGTCAGCAAGAAATGCCCAAGATGATTCGTACCAAACTGCATCTCAAATCCTTCTTTTGTCTTCTGATACGGGCAGACCATCACTCCGGCGTTGTTGATCAGGATGTCTAGGCGGGGTTCGCTGTTGAGAACTTTGTCTGCAAACTTGCGAACTGATTCCAAAGAAGCCAGATCTATCTCCTCAAGAAAAATATTTGAATTTCCACTGCGTTCTTTAATTTCTTTCAGTGCCTCTTTACCCTTTTGTAGGTTTCTGCAGCCGATTATGACCCTCGCTCCACGCCTGGCTAAATCCACTGCGGTTTCTTTACCGATGCCAGTGTTTCCACCTGTGATAACCACGGTTTACCTTCGAGGCTGCTTTTGCTATTGCATTTTGGACCTTGGAAGTATCTTTTCCCTGTATAAAGAGCTGCAATTGCCGCTACACCGATCACAGCTGGAACAGCCATGATTTTCACACCTCTGCAGTCGATCTTATCAAGTGTTCAAGTGTTTACCTAAGGAGTCACGCTCTATGAATAAGCCTCGTCTCCATGCTAATTTTTTTTCCAAGGTTACCACCAAAGCAACGATCCCGTTGTGAGGGTCCCCTATTATTTTTCGTGCAGCGAGATTGGAAATATTTTTCCTCGTGAAAATTTGATTTAAGTTTATATTTATTCGTGATTCTGCCCATCTCAAGACAATTTTTACGTGAACGTGAAATTACTGTAAATTACATACTACTGCAAATGTAACACTTAATATCAGTATTTCCAATTACCAAAACTAGTCTTTTCCTCAGGTCCGCATAAAGGACAAATAACAAATTTACAGAAATGTATATTGACGTAAACGAACAATCAGCAGTTACTTAGAATATGGGGTGGCACCGTGTGGTTAACAACAAAGAGACAGAAATTTTTTTATATTTAATACTACATGTAGTAGCAGATTACAGTTCATCTCATTCATTGACGTCCAGGGGCTCAAAGTTTTTAAATTAGTCAATACAGTGGGCATTGTTTGCCTTCATGAAGGAATGCTATCATACTGGTATTATAACTTTTCCAACCCAACCATCTTCATGCTAAGATCCCACAACTTCTTGGCTTCATCATCATCCTGTGCACCCTTGGATTCCTCCACGATGGCACAATCTTTCAGATACTTCCCGCTAACACCTTCCATTTCTTCTGAGACGGCACAGTAAATGGAGGTTTGGGCTCCCTGTGTAGGTGTCTTCAAAATATACCAACCAATGGGTAAAGCTAAGGTGGCAAGGATAGTGTGTCGGCCCAGTTCAGTACTAACTGCCCCTGGGTGTAGTGCATTCACAGTCACATGGGTACCCTCAAGGCGTTTGCTCAGCTCACGTGTGAATAAGACGTTAGCAAGCTTGCTGTTAAAATAGGCGGCCCAGCTGTCATAGCTTTTTTCGTAATTTATATCTTCAAAATTTATCTTGCCACTACCCATTCTGTGACCTTTTGAAGATACGTTTATTATGCGACTCGGCTGTGAGCTCTTTAGTCGGTCAAGGAGCAGCATCGTCAGCAAGAAATGCCCAAGATGATTCGTACCAAACTGCATCTCAAATCCATCTTTTGTCTTCTGATATGCGCAGGCCATCACTCCAGCGTTGTTGATCAGAATATCTAGACGGGGTTCGCTGTTGAGAACTTTGTCTGCAAACTTGCGAACTGACTCCAAAGAGGCAAGATCTATCTCTTCAAGAAAAACATTTGAGTTTCCGCTTCGTTCTTTTATTTCATTCAGTGCTTCTTTACCCTTTTGGAAATTTCTGCAGCCAATTATGACCCTTGCTCCACGGCTGGCTAAATCCACTGCGGTTTCTTTACCGATCCCAGTGTTTCCACCAGTGATAACAACAGTTTTACCTTGTAGGCTTCTTTTGCTATTGCATTTAGGGCCTTGGAAGTATCTTCGCCCTGCATAAAGAGCTACGATTGCTGCTGCACCTATTACAGCTGGAAAAGCCATGATTTTCACACCAACCGTATGTTTACCTTTGGAGTCACGCGATATAAACAAGCCTCGTCTCCATAATCGTTCCCAGAGGTCAACGCAAGCTCAGTTTGGAAAGAAGATCAATATGGCGGATGCTTATGAAGGTGTCAGTCGTGGTTCTTTAAAGCTAAAAGGAGTCGCGGACGGGGGTGTAAAAAAGTAAGAGACTGTTTTCTGGATCCTTTCAACTTTTAAGAAAAAATTGTAAACGAAAGATTATTCTTGTTTGACTTTTTAAGATTTTTTTCGTAACATCTTTCTAGCGTGTTTGAGGCCTCTTTATACTCTAGACAAACTCCCTTCTTGATAGCCCGGGCGCCACGTTTTCTGGTATGATAGATCTCCCATATCAAAATAAGATGGGTTATTTCAATTTTCTTGAGAAGAATTCATTAGACTACAGTGTGTTAGAATTATTTTGGACAAGTAGCGGAAATTGACACTCGAACAATTACACAGTTTTTCATTTTCATCAAAAATTTGTCTTTAAACTTTGGACTGAAAGTGTTGTGAGTCTTGATCTTAAGACTTTCTTTAAACTAAATAGGAAAAAGAAGAAAAACAAGGAGAAGAAAAAGCTCGAGGAAGCGGCTGCAGAGAGCATGGCTAAAGGAAGTAATCAGGAAAAACAGAATTCAGCTTCTGAAGATTCAAGAACCCCTGCGCAGAAAGCCTATGATAAAATCCAAGAAAAACGAGTAAATTTATTACTTAGCTTGTTTTCTTATTATCCCCTTGACTCTTGCATTTTTTAGCTTAAACTGCTGTAAAAACAACAGCAACAACAACAAGAACAATTTATTACAACCACAACAACAGAAAAAA